CACCCCCCTCCCCCCGCGTCCCCAGCGCCAGAGTGGTACCCCCGCGCCGTGGCTCTCTGCCCCGAAGCCCCCCGCGTCCCCAGCGCCCCAGCGTGAGCCCCGCCCACTGCCCCCTCCGCCACGAATGATTATTCCCGCGTCGCATCCCCCCCCCCCCCCCCCCCTCCCCCACGTCCCCAGCGCCAGAGTGGGACCCCCGCGCCGTGGCTCTCTGCCCCGAGCCCCCTCGCGTCCCCAGCGCCCCAGCGGGAGCCCCGCCCACTGCCCCCTCCGCCACGAACGCTTTATTCCGCGTCGCGACGCACACACACCCCCTCCCCACCTGGGATTTGCGCCCCGTTGCTGAGCCCCGAGGGGCGATGTCTTGCCCCCTCTTCCCCCCTCCTCCTCCACCTCCTCCTTCTCCACCTTCCTTTTTGTGCAAGAGCTATGGCACACGTGCCACTTGCCATTTGTTAGTATCATTACTGCTATTACTGTTGTACCATTCTAACAATGCTTATTATTTGTACTATTGGTAGTACTGTTATTATTACTAGTATTATTATTAGTAGTCGTAGTATATGTACTAATAATATCATTAATATGATCAGTATTAGTACCATTTTAGTTAGTATTAGTATTAGTAGTATCAGTATTATTAGTAATAGTGTTATGAGTATGATTATTATTATCATTGTTACTACTACTACTACTACTACTACTACTACTACTACTACTACTACTACTACTACTACTACGACTACTACTACTACTACTACTACTACTACTACTACTACTACGACTACTACTACTACTACTACTTACTACTTACTACTACTTACTACTACTACTACTACTACGACTACGACTACGACTACTACTACGACTACTACTACTATACTACTACTACTACTACTACTACGAACTACTATACTACTACTTACTACTACTTGACTACTACTACTACTACTACTACGACTACGACTACTACTACTACTACTACTACTACTACTACTACTACTACTACTACTATGATAATCAATATCACTAATATGTTATTATAATTACTATCATTATTATTATTATTATTAATAATAATATCATTATCAGTCGACGTAATATTCTTCCTCCTCCTCCTCCTCTTCCTCCTCGTCCTCCTCCTCCACCTCCTCTTCCTCCTCCTCCTCCTCCTCCTCTTCCTCCTCTTTCTCCCTCCTCTTCCTCCTCCTTCCCCTCCTCCTCCTCCTCCTCCTCCTCCTCCTTTCTCATTTCTCCTCCTCTTTCTTCCCCTTCCCCCTCCTCCTTCGGCGGCCCGACGGCCCGCCTGCTCCCGAGCATCGAACCTCGAACATCTCAGCCGACTGGGTAAAGTCCCCGCCCCAGAGGCAGAAGTGGAGACCGTCGTCGCGCACCCGCCGGGAGCGTCCGAAACCTCCACCTCATGAGGACCTTCGAGACCACCAGTTCGCGCCCAAGACAACCCCGAAAGGCCCCAAGAGGTCTCCAAAAGCCTCCAAACACGCCCATACGAGCCAATGTAGTCAGCCAAATGGTCCGAATGGCTTCCGCGAACATGCGAAGCTCTCGTTCGCTTCCGGTTTTCGGCGGAATAGCGTAAGCCTCCCCCCAAGGGAGACCATGCGGGAACACTCCTCCCTGGGAGATATCTTTGACTCCAGATCACATGCGTCATCGTCGTCGTCGTCGTCGTCGTCGTCGTCGTCGTCGTCGTCGTCGTCGTCGTCGTCGTCGTCCCCCTTCACGGTCGGCGGCACTGGTCGTAAGGTATTCGCGACCCCCCGCCCCGCAAGAATCGGCGGAGGCTGCCGTCCCGCCCCCACCGAGAGCCTCCGGGTACCCCTCCACGAGCGACGCGCACTTCGGGTCGGAGCACCGGCCCTGACCGCGCGGCCGCACCGCGCGCGCGCTGGCCCCGCTTCCGCGGGGCTGCGCTGCGCGGCGGCGCCACGGCTCGACTTCCTCCTCCTCCTCCTCCTCCTCCTCCTCCTCCTCCTCCGCCTCCTGTTCCCCCTCCTCCGCCTCCACCACCTCCTCCCCCTCGCAGGACCCAGGACACCGCACCTTGCACGGGCAGCTGGGTCCGCTACTTGGAAAAAGGCCAGGTGCTATGGCCGAGGGTGTCATGGGGCCCACGACCGGGAGGTCCGTGCCAGGGACCCTCGGACGGATGGGTGGCCCCCCGGGTGGTAGCCGCTTGCTGTGCATGGCCGAGCCTTGCTAATCACGAGACCGCTCGCGGGTTGGGCCCCACCGCCAGCCCAAACGGCGAGCATAAATCGGGCGTAGCCCCGCACGCATTCGAATGCCCACACTTCGTCCTCGTACTACCCGTATTTGTCCCCGTCCTCCTCCCCATCCTGATCGTCGTCGCCGTCGTCGTCGTCCTCCTCCTCCTCCTCCTCCTCCTCCTTCTCCTCCTCCTTCTCATCATCCTCTTCTTCCTCGTGTTCCTCCTGCTCCAACTCCTCCTCCTCCTCGTCCTCGTCTAGGACCTCGTCCTCGTTTCTCCTGTTCTCCTCCTGCTCATCCTCCTTCTCGTGGCACCTCGGCAGCCGAGAATAAAACCGTTTCCTATCGGCTGCGCCATAAATTGTGCCCTCGGCGGCCAAGAATGAAACCGTTTCCTGTCGGTTGCGCCATAGGTTGCGCCCTCGGCGGCGGAGAATAAAACCGTTTTTTGTCGTCTGCGCCATAGGTTGCGCCCTCGGCGGCCGAGAATAAAACCGTCCCCGACCGGTTGCGCCATAGGTCGCGCCCTCGGCGCCCCTGCAGCCTCGAGGCGAGCAGCTCGCGCCCGTCCAGCCCCCTGGTACTGCCGCGCTCAGGCCGGGCCTAGACCGCACACGACCTCGAACGCGAAGCCGGAGGCGACCTTTGAAGGCGGCGGGGCCTGCTCGCCTCAGGCGTGGCCGCCGCCGCCGCCGCCCTGCGGAGGGGCAGCCCGCTGCCGCTCCGCGCATGCACCGCTCCGCTGGCCGCCGCCGCTGGCGAGGCGCGCCGCGATGGGCCCCGCCCCGTCCAGCGCCCTGCGGAGCTCCTCGGGGCCGCTCGGGAGCTCGGCCTGAGCGGAGGGCCGCCACGTCGCCGTCGCCGCCGCCGGAGGAGCCGTCCGCGGCCCCAACGGCCGCCTGCGAGGCCTCCGCGGCAAGCGAGTCCGAGCCAGCGCCCGCCACTCCAACAGCCGCCACCGGCCGCCGCTGCCCCCCGCCGCACGCGCGGCACCGCCGCGCCCTGAAAGCTGAAGTCGGCGATTTCGTCGCTGGAGGGGCCCCCGAAGGCAACGGGGCCGTCGAGCGCCGTGGGCTCGACCATGTCCGAAGGACAACGTGCCTCCGCCCCCCCGCCGCCGCCTCGCCGCGCCCCAGGGCGCGCGCCCCGGCGAGACGAGCGCGCTGACGGCGGCGCCGCTCGCGCCGGGCGTTCGTCGTCGCCCTCCTGCCGTCGCCGCAGGGCCCCTCAGCCACGAACCGCGCCCTGCAGCCCGAGCCCCCCCAGGCGGCCGTTCGCCGCCACTGGAGGCCCGCATAGGGCGGCCTCGACAGGCGAGGGGCAGAGAGCGCAGGCGCCCGCGCAGGCCGCCCGAAGGGCGAGGCGCCGCGCGGGCCGAAGACGCGCAGGGCAGCGAGCCCGTGCGCGGACAAAGACCCAGCCATCCTGCCCGCCAAACCCTGCAGCCCGCGCCCCCCAGGCGGCACGAGCGCCACCGCTGTGGGCCCGCAAACGGCGGGCATGACAAGCGGGAGGCAGGGGCGCAGGCGCCCGCGCAGGCAGCCTGGAAGAGAGAGCTGCTGCGCGGGCCGATCACGTCCTGGGCAACGCCTTGCCCGCGCGTGGAACAAGACCCCCCCTGGCCTTGCCCTCCAACCGCGCGCACACTGCAGGGGCAAGGGCTTCCACCGCCGCCAGGCGCCATGCCGCCAGGCCCCAGTGCATGCCCTTGACCTCCTCGGCGCGCAGGCTGCACCGCAAGCAGCGCCTGTGCTCGCGGAAGGTCTTCAGCTCGTGTCCATGGGGAGCCACATCCTCCGCAGCGCCTGACCCTTGCAGCGTCGGGCGCAAACGGCTTGGCGTGGCAATGCCCCGCGCGGCATTTCTTGGCCCCCGCGTCCGCGTGCTCAGACTGGAGGCACTAGCGGCGGTGGATGCCGCCTGGGACCTCGATGACGCCGTGCTGCGCAAAGTAGAGTAGGGCCCCCTTGCTCGAAAGCCCCACGTAGTTGCACTCGAAGTTGCCTCGCAGCTCGGCCGCCTTCGCGCCGTCAGTTGCAACCCAGTGGACCACGGCGTTCAACTTAAGCTCCCTAGTCCATCTGACCTGCCTGTCGGCGACTGGCGCCCTGAACTGGTCCGCCACGAACCTCGCGCGCAATGCTGCCTCACGGTGGCCCCGCCTCCTGCGCAGTGCGGCGTCGGCGCGCGGCGCGTGGAGGCGGAGTGCCTTCTCGCATAGAGCCGCCGCCCCGTGTCCAGAATGGACCTGGCGTGGCCTCGCTGCGCTTCTGCGAGCGGCTTCCACTTTTTGCGCTCACGCGACTCGCCCTTGCCGTTGTGGACCCAGCGCCTGATCTGGTTGACGAGGGCCCCGTGCTCGATGCCCTCGCGGGCGCCCTTGGCCAGCTGCAGCTGCCAACTCAGAAGGTCGGGCTTGAGCGCCTGCCTGAAGAAACACGGTGCCATGTTCTAGACTTTGAAGTGCCCGTTGCCATCGGGCTTGGCCCACTTCTCGACGTCGCGTAGCTTGCAGCCGAAGCGCTTCCGCGAGAGCACCGCGGCCCCCATGGGCCCCCTCGCCTGGCCCCACCCGGTGATGTCCTTGGCGCGGCTGTTGAAGGTGGCCCAGAGCTAGCTAATCGGCAACCCCTTCCCCCGCACGGCCCACGCCAGAGTGCAGACTGGCTGGGGCGTAGCACCGCAGATGGGGTTGATCTCCTTCGGGCCTCCAGTCGCGAGGCAGGTCGTGGTGGACTCGCCCTGGGACCGAGCCTCGACAGCCTTCATGACCGACGCCCCCGTCTGCGCCTGCCCGAAACCCAACATGCCCGCGTAGGGCGTCCCATGCATCAATCTCGGCACGAGCCATGCGTGCGTCGCCTTAGCAGCAACCCAACGTCCTCGCTGTAGACCGAGTAGACGCCGTAAGCATGAGAGCCTATTCTTGTCGTGCTTGAGCCAGTCCTCCCTGACCTGCATGTTGCTTTTGTTTGCCTTAGCGCGGTGCGCGCCCATATCCCGTGCGAGCCCTGCGCCTTGCACCCCGGCCCTCTGGAACAGCTTGTCTTGCAGCTGCTTCCTGAGCTTCGCGCTGGAAGCCAGAACTCCCGATTTCTTGGCCACGACCATTTGCCTCAACTTGGCGATCACCTTGACCAACGCCACGGCGCCCGCAGCAAGGACTTCCGCAACCCTGTCGTTGCCGCCCCAGCGCTGCATCGCCAAGTTGTTCACCGCCATCGCTGGAATGACCGCCGCCTGCTTGATTCTCATCTCGTCGAGCGGCTGAAGGAGCATGAGCTTCGCGGCGGTAGCGGCGAAGGCGCCGCCCTCGATCATCCCTCCGTCCGTTGCGGGGGTGAAGGTGAAATCGGTGACTAGGTTGGGCCACTCGCTTCGCTCCTCAACAACGACCCACAAGTCGATCAGCCCCTCGAGACCCTCGTCGACGAGCACCTGCAGCTCTCGGGGGCGCCTCGGGTCGAAGGAGGAGCCCGTAGCCTCCTCAGAGCTGCCGATGACCTCCCCGGCCTCCTCCGCCGCGGGGCGAGGTGGCCTCGCGCCCAGATCGTCGGGCCAGCCCAAGTACTCGCACATCCTGATGTTGCCGTTGGGCTCGGGGGCCCTCACAGCCCAATACCCTGCCCATCCCTTCACGAAGGCTGTGACGGTCTACTGAAGAGAAGGAGGGGGGCCGTCGAGGGTCGCGCCCCGGGGCCGAGGGGCCCGGCCTTGCGAAGGCTTGGCGAGGGCGTGGAGGGCCCCCTTGCCTCGGCAGTGGCTGTCGACCACCAAGTAGTTGTAGCCTCTCTTCCCGCGGCTGACCTCACCGTGGACTTCGGCATTGGCAGCCTCGGAGACGTAGGCGCTGACCGCGCGCAAGGAGCGCATTTCCAAATGCTTGGCGTGGGCTGCGAAGAGGCTTTCCTGCCGCGCGAGCTGCCCGCGCTCCTGCAAGGCGTCGCTGATGGCGCGGCCGCGCTGCACGTTGAGCTTCTCGACGGTGCGAGCCCGCTGCCTCCGAAGCGCGTGCTCGGCGTCGTTGAGGGCGGGCGCCGTGCACTTGAGCCGCGCGGCATCAGCAGTGCCTGTACTGACCCGCGGCAGCCACGGCTGGCTCGGCACCGTGACCTTCGCCATCATGAGGCGCGGCCTGCACGCGCGCCCCGAGCAGAGCTCGAAATCGCGAGTGAGGCCGAGCGCGTCAGCGATGTTCCACTCCGCCTGGTAGACGAAGACCTTCCCCTTGCCGTCGGCGGAGCTGGTAGCCTCCATGGCCTCGCCCGTCACTGTCCACTCGGCGCCACGCTCGGTGGCGCAGCGCGCCCGAGGCAAAGGGAACGGGAAATGCTTGGTCCAACCATGACCTGCATGCTTATCTCGCTGGTGCTGCCGTCGATCTCGATCTCGACGGGAGAATGCGGGGCGACATCCCAACCAAGCAGGATCTTCGCGTTGGCCTGGCCGGGCCCCTCGCTGGTCGACCAATAGTTCGCGCGCCCTCCAGGGCGGCGCGCGCCGTCGTCAGGGACCGCCACCCTCAGGCTGCGCGACCAAGACACCCGACTGGGCGCGCCGCTGCGGCCCCGCACTGAAGTCGGCTCCGATAGCGGTGGGCTTGCCAATCACCCTGACCGCAGACTTTCAGGACTTGGAGGTGGGCTCTGGCGCTGATGGACGAGGCGTTCCACCGCCGCCGCCAACGCCAGCCGCGCTCCTGGCTTGTCTGTCTTGGGCTTCCCGCGCTGCCCAGGGCCTCGGCAATCCGCCCCCGCCCCCCCGCCCCCCTCGTCGTCGCAAGTACCCAGCAGGCCGCCAGGATCTTCATGGGCCATGCGCGCGTCAAAGACATCCTCTGAGAAGGGCGCCTTGGCGCCAGCATTGCGTGTGGCTCCTCCTGCGGATCCTGCTCCACCGCCAGGGGCTCCCCCTCCTCCTCCTCCTCCAGGATCGTGTGCAGGGGCTCCTTCGCCTCCGCCAGCTGCCTCAGCCCGCGGGGCGGGCTGCGTGGCGGCCTTGGCGTCGGTGTCCAGCTTGTCGACCGCAGTGAGGATGGCCATGATGACGTCGGCTGCTGAGAGGTTGTCGACCGCCAGCGCGCCGACGGTGTTCTTGAGCTCCTTCCCGTCGATGCCGCCTGGGTCATGCTGCAATGCTTGGCGCCGCAAAGCTTGGCAGCCTCCTGCTTCGCTGCCTCCAACTCCTCCTCCCCCAAGTTGGCGACCTGTCCCTCCTGCTCGGCGACGGAAGCCAGCTGCTTGAGCGCCGTCTCCTTGTTGGCGGCGAGCTTGTCGCGCGCTGTCTGCAGCGCCCACGCAGCCGCGTCGACCGCCTGCGGGGCTTCGCGACTGGCAGCTCCAAGCGCGCCAGCAGCCGCAGCACGTCTGGCATTGTCCACCTTGCTGCGACACTTCGAAGGCGGCATCGATCAAATGTCTCCGTGCCCTCCAGGCCAACTCGTCGCCCTCTCGGATCTGGCCTACTCGGCCGCGCGGGACTGAGGCCTCCTCGGCAGCCTAACGCGACAACTCGTCAGCTTCATGCTCAGCGCCCCAACGCCCAAGCGGGAGCCCCGGTCCTACTGCCAAAGACCTGCGTTGCTTCTGCGCTTCCAGTTGGGCCCTCCCTATGTGCCTTTCTCAGCTCACGCGGCGTCGGCAATGTGCGCGGCGTGTCCTGCGGCGGCCCGGAGTGCTCCAATTGTTGCCAGCAGCTCGGGTCGGAAGGCGGTCTGCCGCCAGCCAGGCGCGGCGCCGCGCCCGGGCGCCAGGGCCGTCTGAGCCCGACGCGCGGCGAAAGACCGGCCCGCGCGACGCGGACGAGGACGCGCGCCATTTTCTGCGCCCGGGTCATCGCGCTCGCCGCTCGGAAAACAGCACGGTTGCAACTCGAACCGTTGCCCCCCGCTCGGTCACTGCCCCTCTTCAACTGCATTTTCTCATGGGGGGGGCCCTCCGGGGCGCGGCCCGAAGGATGGGCACTGGGCCTCGCAAGCAATAGCACGGGCACGCTTCAGCTCCTACTTTGGCTTGCTCGCACAGGCATCCTTCGACTTCCCGTCTGGGTATGTTTCGATTGCGCGGGCCTTTCCGATATTGTTGATAACGTGTTTCGCTCGGTGCTCCGCGCGGCGCCTAACGTCGCGTTGCCATGCCCGCGCCGATTGGGCCATGAGGCCCATTGGGTGGCCATTTCGAGAATAGACGCCACGTGGTTAAGTCCTTTCTCTCCCATATGATCTTAAGATGGGCCCAAGTCACAGAAAGGTGAATCCCGAGCGCCGCCCCATAACCTCAAAACGCTGCTTTGCGGCCTGGGCCCCCGCGCTCTGCGCGGGGGAGAGATCTCTTTCAAGCTCCAGCCTGTCTAGGCCGTCGGCTCCCCCAGGAGAAATTCTGTGCCAATTCAAATGCCCCACTCTCGCGGGAAATCGGGCTTCCAGCGCGCGTCGAGAAAGGTGGCCTGGACGGCCGCCAAGCATTCCTTCACCTGCAGCCACCTGCGCACGGCCCCGTGCAACGTGGTAGAACTTCCCTGACAGGGCCCATCGATAACGCTGCGCCAATCTTGTATCCTAAGGAGGTGGCCCTGCCAGGCCTGTAACAATTCCCAGAAAGCCCCCCCTCCCGAGAAAGCGGGTCGCAGCGTTCGCCGAGACTGACCAGCCCACCTGCCGACGCGCACGATTGCAACCTGGACCCTCCGCCTCTGCAGAGTCGCGGGCGCAAGACCCATGGCCGCGGCCTCCGAGGACACGCGCGGCCCGCGGCCAGCCCCGGCCAGCTCTCTGGCCGCCCGCGCGGTTTCCCATGGGATCTTGATTCCGTGGGCGCGGGCTCCTGGCTGCTTTCTTCTGCCCCGATGTGATCGCCCTTTGGGCCCTCGTAGCAGTGGGCACATCCACTCCGCGGCCTGGCCCGCAGCCCGCGAAGCCGTTCCAACATTCAACTGAGCAAGATCAATCACCCAGCAGCTGATGGCACTCTGCGGAGTGGGGCGGCTGCGATGCAGGCTGTCAAGCACGCCCCGCAAATTCAGTCTGGGCGAGGCCACGCTCTGCGCGCGCCCTGCGATGATCGGGCGCTGTGTGCGCGCGCTTTCTGAGAGAAGGCCGCCGCCGCTAGCCGGCGACCCGCCGCGCGCTGCGACGTGGCCAAACAAGAACGAAGGGGAAATCGCGGCCCATCGCTCGAATAGTAAGTTGCCCTCGCAGCATCAGGTCGCGGGACTTCTCGACGCCGCGGGATCTGCGCCCAACCGATGTCAACTATTCATTAATTAAACCGCGCGTTTCAAGTGTTAGTTGTCGCAAGATAACTGCTCTCGCAACGAGCTGCTTCCGTTCGCCACCGAACGCCGGAACTCAGCTGCGATTTGCTCCCAGACTTGGGCGGGTTGGTTTCTCGCGACGCCCCGAAACCGACGCGGCCCTGGAGCGAGGG